AAGAAGCCCAAGGGTATTGTTAGGATTTAAGAGTTTGGTGGAAGGTACATGTGTTGTACTTGGGAACTTGTTCAAATTGTATAAATACGTTAATTTGCATTTCACCAAATTTTGGTATTTTGTTTTTGCTTCGTGTGGTGTCATTAAGATGGACATTTTAAAATAAATTATCTCCTTTTTGTTGTATAAGCATGATCATTTCAATTTTGAAAAGAAATAGAAAAAGTACTTTTGCTCCTATTCATAAAGGTTGTTTTTCACTCCACCTTGAAAATTGTCAGGCTCGTTGGTGACAATCTTTTTTCTTTAATCATAGTACCGAGGCCTTTTGATTAGAGAAATTTTTGTCTGGCTTTAATGCATCTGTTATTTGTGGGGATGACCTTAATTTTAGTTGGCTGAACAAGCCACTTCTTCAAAACCCTGTAGGGTATGATGGAACTTGGTATTAAACAAAATTGTAATTGAACCTCAGGTTCTTCTGGGGCTTCCTGGGCACCTGGGAGTCTCCCATGCTCTGTCACTGTAAGGAAGAGCCACACAGGGTATTTTCATTTTCTCATTATCAATTATCATCAATGTGACTATTTGACTAACTGTTTATGCAAACTGTGAGTGAAATAGTTATGAGGGCAGCATGGTTGATTTGAGTAGGCTTTGAATGAAGCACACAAATTAGATAATTCCTTGAGATGGGTCTTTGGAAGAGAGAAGGCACCAAGTAGTGGTGCAACTGTTAAATCTCAAATACACAAGTCATAATATGTTGGTAAGGAAATAAGATCATCTTTAACGTTTTGAGCTTGAAATATTTTTCAAAACCCACGAGATTGGTCATTCTTTTCTTTCTACCCTTTCATTCATTTTGTTTTTCACTGAAAAATGAGCAAGTTATAGAAGAACAGAAAAGATCTCATACAATTTAGGAGGGACATAGATGATAAAATGCTTGTAGTTCTTAAAATACTTTTATCAAGTTTCTTAAGTGACAGTATTTCTTGGGAGGCTTTCTTTTCTGTAAAGGAGTAGGAATTTAGAGGGAAGAGGACTGAATTAATTGAATTAGTTAAAAAGAAAGAATTACAGGGGAAAATCTAGGTAAGTATATGAAGTCTGCATGGACAAGAACCTGAATTTCTGCATGAGTGAATGTTTGGTCATAAGCAGGTAGAGTCTGCTTGGCTGGCAGAGTGTCTGCATCAACCTGAAACTCCCTGCAAACCGTCAGCAGCACAGGGTTTGGGATAATTCACGGGATGAAGTTGGTAAAACTATGCTGATTTACACCAGCGTTTCTCTACAGCTCCCAAATGGCTGTTCTTTGTTCTCATATTTAACCACTGAGATCTCATTTCATGTCCAAAATTTTACAGTCAGCCTACAGATAATATCAAAGAGACAGGGAAACACCTACTCTCTCCCAAACTGGAAAGTATGCAAAATCATCCGCTTCTTTCCCTTTTCTTTTCTTTTTTCATCACTTTTCAGTGTAAGCCTGGTATCGCAGGTCTGAATTGAACGGGTTAAACCGGGCAAAGAAGTGGACCTGGTTCGTTCCTCCCATCCCAGGGGAATTACCTACCCTTCATTGATCCGCAGTTGTTGATCTGTCCATAATAATTACTCCTCAACAGGAACCGAAGTTGCAGGGCTGGCAGGCGACCTGCATTTCCATTAGGGATCTCTCCTCTCGGACTGCCAGCATCCTCCACCGCTCCCCAACATCCCCAATCCCTGCTCCTTCCCAACAGGGTGGGGTTGCCAGTTTGGGTTTGAGCCCCTTCAATTACATGGTTATTGGGTTTGGAAAGCAGGTGAAACGAAGCGGATCAAAGAGTTTCAAACCATATTAGCATATTCAGATTTAGGATATTAGTGCATATGGAAACATGAAGGGTGTTTTGAGTTTAGTTTGTGGGTTTTTTTTTAATGACAGAGAAGGTACTTAATGTAGCTTAGTTTTAATTAAATGTTAGTGCCTTTGTTGTAACAATATTGTTCCACTTCTGCATTGTGTTTATTTGTGTGAGTAGCATGCCCGTACTCTTTGCTCATAGTTTATTCTCACTGCAAAGATAGGATTTATTTCTTCTTCCTTTGTGCTGCATCCAACACAGTGAGCCGTTGATTCCAGTGGAACATGCACTTCTATCGTGCACACCTGGAAATGACTAAAATTCTCTTTCATCTTCTTATACTTGTATTCATAGACCAGTAGCTACTAGCAAATACCTGCATCTCAGAACTTCATTATTTCACTGTAGGTAAACATCTTAAACATCTTCTGTGTGCCATTTTCCCATCCTTCAGGAAAAAAAAAAAAAATCAATAGAATTGTAATTTTATCTGGGGTTGGATGAGCTCTTAAATGCTGCAAGCTTGAGCACCTCTTTATTTATTTATTTTATATTTTAGAAAGCTTTGTAAGCAGTCAGGCTTTTGTCATGCTAGCTGTTTATCCATGCAGGAAGCCCAGGTTCAGAAGCAATCTCAGCACTCTAGCTACCTGGATCAATTAAAACCAGACTTTTGCTGAAGTGACTTCTTTGATCTGCTGGGGGTGATAAGCAGTTGTCTGTCCTCCTCTGGCCTAAGGAAAGTGCAGTGCAGGAGAATTGAGTTCTCTTCCAAATATCAGGGCTTTTAAGTGCTTTTAAGTGGCCAACATGGGCTGTCTGTGGTCTTGCACACCCTAAAATACGAGGTAAGGGCATAGTAGCCTGCAGAACAGAGAGGGTGTGTTAACGTTTTAGAATGAGATGTAAGGATCTTCTAATGTTGTTTAATTGGAACTTGGTTTGATCAAAATAAATCTCAGGTTTTAATGACGCTTTGCCAGTGAAAAATGATGGAAAACTTAAAATATTTTAAGAGTTTTGTTAGCATTGAATTCTTAAAGCACCACATGGCTTCAGTGACTTCTCTTGGCCGTAATGGACGGTGCCCTATAGCCTCAGAGACTTACTGCTCTGTAGATTTATGGGGCAAGTTAAACTGTTGTTAATGAGCAGTTTTGTGTGGAGAATTGTCCTCATGATACTTCCTAAATTGCTACATTGTCTATATAATTAACCAGGGCTTGAAAGGACAGCTCTGTTTCTGCTAGCAGAAGTTTTAACTATAGTTACACGGGTTGGAAATTAGCAATTTAAAGTTAACAAATACAAAATAGAAATTTAGTCACAGACCAGCAACATCTTTCATGTGTGCTTTAATTATTTTTTTTTTGCCTCGGATAACCATTGAGATATCCAATGAATTGTTCCTGTGCAGCAACAAATTGGTGAGGAAGAACAAAGTAGCATAGCGGAATAGATAAATCAAATTTAGGCATGGTAGTTTATTGAATCTAAATTGTGCCCAGTTGGCCCAAGAGCTATATAAGCAATCCATCTTGTGTTGATAATGGAGGTTCTTGAAATCCACCTGATGTTTGCATTATTAAATTCCAGCCTAATGAGCTCTGCTAATACATATTGAAGACAGTTGTAAGGAGTAGAATGTGAATCTGAGCGGGATAATTTGAAAGAAACATAAGCTGAGCATTTTACATGACTCAAGGGGTATATCTACAATTACACATATAACCAAAATTGAATTTAAATGGAATTTCTATTATCCTTGTCCTTTTACTAGGGAGAATAAAGTGTAAATGAAGTAAAAGTCTTTAGAGTTACTAGCAGTTTGTTTACATTATCTAATTTAATAGATTCTTGTAATGATCTTCACTGGCAGAAAAGTTTTAATATTTCATGACTTTAAATGTAGTCTAAATATGTATAAAAGCATGTAAATGGAAACAGATGTCTATATAATTACTTCTATCATTTTGTAACACAGCTGTTTAAGTTGTATATTTTAAGAAGGTGTAGCTACTGGCTGCAAAAAGACACCAGAGTCAGAAAGACCCCTTGAACCACTCTGAAACTGAATTTTCTTTTCATAAATTATTGGTTGATTCAGTAGGTGGAAGGACTAAGGATTTGCAAAATTGAATAAGCATTTGCTATTTGTGCCACAGGTTACAGTGATTTTATTACATAAGAAGGCCTGGTTTAAATTCTAAATTCTGCTTCTCTTTGCTTCTTTTCCTTTTGACATGGTGATACTTCTTAAAACTTAATATTTCATCAAGTATAATGCTATTAGGGACTTATTCTCACTTAGTTCACTCATCAGGCAGTGAGATGGCAATAAAAGAGAATGGCTCCTTTGAGACATTAATGCTTTGGAATAAATGATGTGCTAGAACAGAAATTTAATTAATTTACAGAGTATATTGATAGTCCCTTGTTACTGTGCTGTATATTTTTAATCTTCTTTAACATCTGTAGTAAAGTGTTTGAAAACCCCTGCAGTTGAGCAACTAGTAGATAATTAAGTAATAAGGGAAGAGGTTTCTAGAGGGAAAAGATTCTTTTTAAAGAATACTGTCATAACATGAATAAAGTACTGCTGCGGTGATTTGCAGTGAAGAGAAAATTGTATACTACCTAATTTAATACTAAGTAATAGGCATTTGACTCCTACTTTAAATGCTATCTGCAACTCTGCATCCCTGAAAATATTGTTTTGTTTCTGTTATATCCTCAAAAGAGGTCTTATGGATTACTCACTATGGTAGCAAATCTTTTTTTAAATGCACTGCATTTGTTTCTTTATTGTTTGATTTAGGGGCAAGTAGGGTGGGGAGATTTGTATTTAAGAGAAGAAAATCTTAAAAGTTATACTTAACAAAAAATGAAGGCAAAGATTTGTACTGAACTAATTCTGCATACAAAAATTACCCTCCATAATAATATTTATGCTGCTTGCTTAACTCTAGTAATATCTTTAAAGAAAATACATCAAGAACCAAATTCTGTTCTTTCGTGCACATTGACTGCATTGTGGAACCTACAAGAAGGGATCTCACATTGGGTTTAAACCCCAGGAAATGTTGTTAGGCTAGAGAAATTAACTAATTATAACATTTGTTGTTGTATTTCTTGTCTTTTCAGCTAAAGCAGATGAAGCATTGAAGGCGAAAGAGAGAAGTGAAGAAGAGGCAAAGAAAAGGAAGGAAGAAGGTAATGCATTCTTTTAATTTTAATTTTTAAATTTAAAATTTTTTTAGCAAATTAAAATCCTTTAAGTCAGAAATTATTATTTTGAAGGGACCAAGTTCCAGTGGAGCTGCATTATTTTCTTACAAGGGCATCTGAAACCGAAATGGCCAGTCTGGGTCACCGCAGCTTTCTGCTGCTGGCCAGAAAGGTTAGCAAAAACTGCTAAAAGCACCAGAAATTTCACCCAGATTTTAAAATATATTTTAGCTGTCATTAAAGCAACCTAATAATTTGGGGCAAAGTTATATGTTTAGAACCTTATGACCAGCCGATACCACTGTTTTGTGTGCTGGATTTTTTGCTTGATTAAAACGGAAAGTGCAGCAGTTAATTTGGCTGTGTATGTGGTCTGTGTGATGTCACAAAGTGAGCTAATCTGTTTCTCGATGAAATTTGGTGCACTGCAAGCTGGCGGGATCTGAGCAGTTTTCCTTTGCAATACAGTAGGTGGGAAGTTAATGCATAATGCCTGGATAATTGAAACAAATGTATTTTCCTGGTGTGTCGGTGAGTAATGGGAAGAGACATTTTCAACAACGTGAGGGAGCCAATGCAAACAATCCATGGAGCCTCAAAGTTTCTCGCTTCAGCCGTGATAGACATCCCTGTCTCAGAGAAAATAGCTCAGTTGTTCAAATTAAAATGAATCATTTAGTGCTCTGCGACATCTATTATTTTTTACGTTGACTTAAGCGCAAGAAAATATAGTGAAGGACTTCACTTCCTTGCAGTGGTTTACTCTGGAAATACATGTTGTCACACCTTAGTCACTAAAGTGAACTTTCTCTTCAGCATATTTGACTTAAGTGATGATAGGTTTCAGGTTGTAAACTGTTATTTAATACACTGAACAGTCTCAGTGTAAATGTGTTCCTGATTCTCCCTGCCCTGTGCCCCTGGTCTGCCTGGGATTGTGTGGATGGTCGCTCAGTATTTTATCCACCCAATAAAAAAGACCGAGGTTTGAAGATGATGTTATGTTTGAGTTATAAGATGAGGTGATGTTATGTTGATGTTATATGTATATAAAATAATATATATTTTTCTGGGCTGGCTTTTTGATGAATTCATTTACTATGAAAAGTCTCGTGCCCAAATATTTTTGTTAGGGTCAGGACATCGTATATGGAGGAGAGTTATATGAAGTAAGGCTGTTTAGGACAGCTTCAGATTTAAGAAGAAGTTAAGAGACTGAGATAGTTTTAATTCCCAGTGTGATATGAGGATAAAATCATTGGGCTAAACCAAAACAGGAAAAGTCATGCGAAACAAGAGGTAGTAGGTTGTTTGAGTACGTGTCAAATGGAAGAAAACACCTAAAGGGGATGGTAGCTATCTTTACAATTTTACTATGCCCTCTCCTCCACATTTTCAAAAGCATCATCTTTTTTCCAGTCTCTTTAACCTTACTGGAAAGTCTGCTTGTGTCTGCTCTCTCTTTTCCTATCTCTGAGCACAACAAGTTGATCTTCAAGGTAAAGATAGGAACTTAATTTTGCGTCTGTCGTGCCTTCATCTCTTCTCATCTCTACCATCCAGCCACCAGAGCCTGATTGTCCTTCCGCACATGCTGTGTTTAACCCCCACTACACTACCTTCTATTTAAGAATCCCACCAGTTTCCTGATGACAAGATTCCTCCTTATCCTGCTTTGACACTCTTATTTTCCAGGAATCCTTCCTAACGACCAAGCAGTTTCAAACAGCTAATCTCTCCTTGCATTTCTTTCCCTGAATTCCCATTCCATACCTCGGTCTGAGCTGCTGCAGTCTTTTAGGACTCCAAAAGCTCTGAATGTTATGGAGATCTTTTACATACTTGTTTGATTTTGGAACAGGTCATTAGCAAGATTCTTGAATTAGGAAAATTCGTCCTACTGGTCTCGATGTTGTTATCTCTTCTTAGGTGCTGACTTCAGGTGCTGTTTCTTTGGTTACAATCAAATTTCTCTGATTTTTTTCCTTACCCATTTTTCCTTGAGCTGGAATTCCAGCCTCAGTGATTTCTGAAGGTAATTTAAGGCTTATTTGTACTTCAGATACAAACAAGTTTCTGTAAATCCTAATGTGTGAATGAGAAAATTAAGTATACTTTGCAGGTCTGATTTGGCTGGTTGCTGCCCTACAGAATTTATACATCTTTACATGATTTCCCACGCCCTGTTTTTTTTTTAAGATTTAGATATCTTTAATACACTCCAAACTGTGGGACCTGCGGTGAAGTATGCTAAGTATTTATTGCAAAACTCTAACGTAATCTTTATTAAAAATTCATGCGATTGATTCCCTTCATCTGTGTTTAGGTTTTGGTTGTTTGGTTTATTGTTTTTCATTTACAGAAAATAGTTCTGCATTATAAGGTTAATCCAAAGAAATGAATATGTACTGACTGCTTGAAAAAAAACCCCAATTTTGTATTCCTAACAGTGGATGAAATTTAATCCTGTTCTAGCGCTCTTCTATAGGCTTCATGAGATAATGCTTTATTGGGTGCTAACCACTGTCCACCCATTAGGCTCAGCTTTAGAGGACTGGTTAATTTGGCAGTCAACTTTCACTCATACCAAGTTCCTGGTAATTACAGGCTTATTTAGTTCCTGACAAAGTCATTGCTGCTGGCCCTGTGCAGTTTTAGGTATAATGTTCCGATCTTACTGAGTGTAGTGTACCTGAAGCCCCTGCTGTGCTTGACAAAAAAAGAAAAATATAGTGTAATTATCTTTGAAAAATTTCAGCTAATCAACTGCATTTCTTCCTCTGTTTGAAAGAGGTTGGAGGTGTTCACATTTAATAAACTTTTAGTTTAATGATGTTTAAAAACCAGTGAAATGGATGCTAAGCTTTTTTTCACTTCAAAGAGTATTGGGCAATCATTACATCTGAAGGAAACACTTTCTTTTATGTTAATTTTCTAATTATATTATCTGGGATACACTGCAAGAACTTATTATAATAGATACATTGATGCTTCTGCATCCCATCTACGTGAGATGGATCCTGGAGTACCCCCAAAAGGAGCGTTGCCACCACTGGACCAGCCGATGTGACCACAGGAGAGCCTGGGGAGGGTCCTGCTGCCCATGGGGCACACGCCTGGCATGGGTGGTGTTATAGATTAAAGCTAAATTTGGAACAATTCAGAAGTGTCCCAAGTAAAAGTTGATAGCGGAGGTTTATGGACAACTGCAGCTTCAAAGCAGAGTGTTTATTCCCCCTGTTTGTCCCACAAGCTGAGCGGGCGCTGCAGGTGGCTCCGTGCCTTTGAAATCTATGGGCTTTACTTAAGCTACTTCAGGAGTTTATTAAGCTCCCAGCACAGCTCTTCAGGTAAACCATTGGGTATGAAAGCGGTCTTTTAGTCTGTAGGGCAGGAATCCAGGACTCTTTAAAAAAAAAATAAAATTAAAATTCCTGAGTTTGGAATTGTGTTTTGGAGCTGTGCTGCCCTAAGCATTGCAATTCCTGCAGTATTTTGTGACATACCTAATACAGTGTCCAGAACACTTGCGAAATAAAATATACTTGCTCTAATTTGTTTTGTGGATATAGTATGTGGAGTGGGTTTCTATAAATACAATAAGATTGGGAGTTGATTTAGAAATCTATCTACGATGATGTTCCATAAGGGGCAGACACTAAAGTGCCATCTGTGCCTTTAAAAAGATTCCCTTGCACTAAAAAGGCATCACAACGTACATTTTATATATATAAAAATAAAACCCAGTAAAAATTTGTAACACCCTGAATTATCTAGCCTAGCAAAATAAAAAAAAAATGCCTGTGTGTTCCCAGTACTCTGCTCTCCCAGCATCCACTGGCTCACTGATGTTAATTCCCTTTTTTCTTAATAGCGAAGGGCCGCTCATAAGATCAGGGCTCTGAACATGGTTGTTTCGCCTTCTTCTGCAAAACAGCTTCCATCTGCTGTGCGCAGCCTTTCAACAGCTTTCTAGGAGGATTAGGTGGAGCAAGATTATATGAATATCTTCTTAGTAAATGAGTTAGAAATCTAGGAACTCGGATTAATAAACCGTTTTTCGGTTCCTGTGCGGTTGTGTTCTTGCGGGAGAAGAAGCCTCTGTCTTGTGATGGCTCCAGATGGCTCAAAGTTCAAGTGATGTCTTTTCTGACTTGTCTGCAAGATGGTACTCAAAATCTTTAATTCCCCTTCTGATCATTTAAATGAACTGCAAATGGGAAGAGCTCCTCTTTTCTGCCATAGTGCTTGGAAAGGGCTGAGGTAGAAGTTCCTGCAGATTTTTTTTGCTTGTCTTAACTTTTTCCTAAGAAATCATTTGACTTTTCCTCAAAGGTGCCCATTGTTCCAAGACTGTCTTGACATCAGGCTGCTGGTGGGAGGAGGTGAACATCACTTGGGGGTTTTTTCCCTCTTTCCTTCACTTAGCAAACTGTGTTTATCTCAACCCATGATTTTGGGGTAGGATTTTTTGAATTTTCTCTGCCTGTTCTGTCCCCTGTCATGCTGGAGACAGTGAGCAGGAGTTGTGTGGGTCCTTATCTGCTGGCCGGGGTGAACCCAGAGCAAAGTTTACCTCTCCATCATCTGGCTGTGCTGCTGTGCTGTATGGGCTGCTCCCTGCACAGAGGATGCATTCAAAAAGGCCAGCAAGATATGACAGACAGTCATTTAACCATCCATCAGGGACTGGTCTGGGGTTGACTATGGAATGAGTATGTGACTAGAAGACAGTCACCTACGCCTGTTGCCATTAGATGACCCCCATACTAAACTGTGTTTCTCTTACCATGTGTAATTTACAGTGCTGTATTCAGAATGTAACACTTCAGGGGTATATGTAGAAATATATTTTCCGTAATAGTGCTGAGAATAGTGTTGTAGTAGATGTTGAGCATTTCTGGTCTGTGGATCTCTACCAGGTCTCCCCAAATGAAGTTATGAGCTCCATACAGGACTAATTTCCCCCAGCAGAACTGCATTAT